CAGGAGCTCAACAGTAAAGGAAGTTAGTTGTCGCGTGCTTGCTCTTCGTATTGATTCCAAATTTCCTTGAATTTTTTCAGCCGCTGCCATCTGCGCGCTCGCAATGACAAAATCGCTGTGCCGCGCACGCTCACCGCCCAATCCTCCGAATCATGCCTGCCCTCCAAATCACGCTGCCGCCCTCCAATCCGCTGTCCACCCCAAACCTCACGCCACCCCGCCGCACTCACCTCCCTCCCCGGCTTCTCTACCTTTCTGGCGACGCTCCCTCCCTCTCTGACGGACATGGCGGCGGGCTGGCGGTGGCAGCGACGATGGTGAGCTCGGCGGGCTCCCTGCTGGCGATGCTGCATGAGGCGGCGCCATCTTCTCCTACCTCTATGTCGTACGTGTGCATTCTTCAGGTCATCTTCCCTATTTCCTCCAGCTTACTTTCTCTCGCGTGCTATGCCTGCTAGTTGTTTGAGGAAATGACACTAAGGATCTGCTCGAGTTTTTTCTCTGATCTTTTGATGCTGCTGTGGGTGACGTTTTTTTAAATGTCCAGCAGTTTGTGTGCACTTGTTGATGGTCAATCTTGTTCAGTTTCTGCTATTCTATGCACTGAGACGTGCAAATTTACTTGTACTCAGGATGCCCGGATTGTCAGATGGGGACATACATGGCGACCAAGCAGGATCCCTCGATATATTCCTCGGTAGTAATTAACCTTGCTAAATGCAGTCAGGTATTGCTATACAGGTTCAAGTAAAAGAATTCAACTTGTGTTAGAGAATGTAATCAATTTTAGGCTTCAAACAACATTTCCATGCCCTTACAGTGGATGAGTGGATCCAAATCATGCTTTGGCATTTAGATATATGTTTGGTATGACTGCTAGTTAAAAAAAAGGTGGAGATCTTTGTGTAGTGGTTGCCAGTTCGTTTGTTCATGTGAACTTATATACAAAATGTTGATCAGAACTTATCATTGTTCTTAGAGTTATCAGATTAGGCTTCCACTAGAAAAGGCAGGAAACTCCTCTTAAGTTTATTAGAGTAGTGCACTGATGGATGAAAATCTCTAATGGAGCAATAGAATAAGACATCAGGCATGTGTCTTAGTTACATTGGTCTTCTTTATAAACACAGGAGACTAACCCTCCACATGTTTGTTGAAATGCCTATTATGAAATACATATGTGACTGTCATTAAGGTCATTTAAAATTTGCAAATCTGGAATGGGACCAAGTTGGTTTGTAGGATTTGAGAGATATTGGTGTTTCAGCTTTTTTTTTAGAATGTGTCCGTTGACAGATGTTTCAGCTTCTAGGTCTTGGTTTCATTTTTCTAGATGGGATTGCATCATTTATTTGTCAATTCAAAATGGAAAACAAAAAAGACACCACCTTGATTTATGCAAGGCCTGGACTCTCAAGTTATTTACTAAACATTAATTATTGAGGAATTTGGTGGTCTTGCTTTTAATAAAGCACCGTGGAGGAGTGCAGCAGCATCGACAAGGGACAAGGGTGACAAGCACAGGAGACATCAGCCGTGAGAGGACTGTCGTTGATTTCTATGTTTATCCTATCTTATTATTCTTGGAAAAGTGCAATTATTTCATATATTTCTTGATGTCCCTTTATTTTCTTTGTATCCTAGTGTGTAAAGGGCTGTGGACTAGTAAATGATCTGACATGAAAAAGCTTGCTGTAAGGGTCTGTTTTTGCTTGGCCTGCATGCCAAGTGCTATAAAAATTGTGCCTGACGTTTCTGTCAACATCTGAAATAACACACAAGGGCTAGGAAAAGTTAGCTTACTCTATGTATGTTGAATTGTAAATTAGGTTCGGAGTTACATGGTGGTTGCTGTAATTGAGACTGCAAAAGAATACCACCCTGTCACATGCAGACCGCTGAGTTACCACAACAGCGAGGCTCTTGATTCACTAACAATAATGCTGATTCTCAAGCAGTAAGTAGAAAAGATGAGCACCAGTAGGTGTGCTGATATAGCAGGTGCAATTCTCATCTTAAACCATAAATTCTATTTTTTTCCTGTGTTTGTTGTTTTTTATAACATGCCCATAGTGTGAGTGGCTTGACAACAAACATGTGGCCTTTAGGGTATGCTTACTGAATCCATAAGTAGCAGAGCAGTTTCGATGTGTAGTTCTGAAAACCCTTGAAATTTGGAAGTACTTTCTGGTACATTATAATCCTATTCCTTGTCGGTGTCTATTTTGTACCGATAGGGGGTTTTCTCTTCAGTAGTGGCAATGCATTGCTATTGATGTGTTCTCTGCAACAGACTTTGGGGCATGTTCTTTTTCTCTTCTATCATAGTGATTAACTTCTAATGGTTACTAAATGAGTAGCACTCTTGGTCCTACATGGTCTGTTTTTTTTACGGCAATCCTACATGGTCTGTTAACCTACATTGCCTTTTGTTAATATAATATTATTTTCTGTGGAGTACACTTGAATATTACTCCCTCTACTCCAAATTATAAGTTGTTGTGGCTTTTGTTACTATATAGCTTTTCGTATTTATCTAGACTTAATGTATATCTAGGTACATAGCGAAGCTAGTATTCATAGTGTCATAACTAAGAGCCTTTAGTTGTTACACTAGATTTGCATGTGGAATTTTTCTTCATGAGGAGCTTATCTATCACCTAATGCCATTGATCGTTAGTTCTTGCAATTTCATCCTGGTATTTCTATGTGTACTGTACTGTACTGGTACTGATCAGCTAATAGTTTCCTATGTCGCAGCCTTCCATTGGATAATAGGCTTCAAGCTCGAGGCAGGACTCTGCAGTAGATGATCTTCTGGCCACTGAGTGCCCACTGTAGCAGATAGGCCAATGCAACATGAACGCATGGCAGAAAATGTGCCAAATTGTCTATGTATTCACAAAGAAAGAATTGACTTGATACCACTTTATTGGATAGTTGATAGGACCAAGATAGTTCATGACAAGAGAAGAGCTGAATACATTAAACATGCCACTTATATATTTAACAGATTATCCAAGCAGATGATTGTGAGATGTGTATGGGCATGCAAATATAGTTCTGTTGTGATTCTGCCATTGGAAAATTTTATTAATTCTATAATGAAATTTATATATCACTCAGTAATTTTAAATCAAACAATTACATTTTGATGTAGCACGCAAATATGTTTACATGTGACACTTTAGATGATCGGTCAGCTATTCCAATTTAATCCTAATTGGTCTCACCAAAGCGTCCTGATGATCATGGGCATTGTCATTTCTTGTTCTCTAGTAACACAATCACGAACCATAGTAGGGGATTGACGCACAATGCCCTTGCACACCCAAAGCCAACGACATGTCGCAATTCAATAAGGAAGTGTTGCAATACAAAAACATATTGGCCCTGTTCGCTGGGAGAAATTTGGAGGAATCTGGATGAATATGGAGGAATTTGTGATATCGTGAACAGTAAATTTTGGCCGTGAACAGTGAATTACGTCTGGTTTTCTTACCCGCCGAATGGCGCCATTGCAACAAACAAACTATTCTATGGCAACCAAACATACCAGTGGCAGTAGCAACATACTATTACATCGCTTTAGATATTTAGTTGCAATAAACAAATACCTATTATAATGGTCGTGAGAAATATTACAACCAAACAAAACTGTGGCAATAACAACATACATTTGCATCACTTTAGATATTGAGTTGCAATAAGCAGCTACCTAATTGCAATGGTCCCAAGAAATATTACAACTCAACAAAACTGTGGCAATAATTTCAAGCAATGGCAACACTGTTCTATATGGTTGCAAAAGCACCAGACAATTGCAACGCCAATCAATACTAATTCAACGCAATGTCATCGTGGCAATATTTTGAACCTATAACAACACTATTCAAAAAAGGGTTGTTATACGTCTCACCTCTTACAACGCCGAACGAAAAAATTGCAATGTGCTATTTTTTGTTGCAACACAGTCCCCCTATTGCCACCTTTTTGGACAAATGTTGCAAAACACACCCCTATTACAACACAATTTGTGGTGATGCAAATGGCGTCAAGTGGCAATAGGGTCAAAATCTTGTAGTGGGTGGTCGTGGTGGTCGCCGCTGCTAGCGGCGGTAGTACTTTTGGCTACTTGTGACCTTCATTGGAACCTGACATCTCTGATACTAGATTGGTAGGACTTAGGGAATAACGGAGGCTCTAGAGGGAGTAGCGTTGGGTGATTGGTAGTTAGGGCTCGTCAGCATGAGGGTGCCATGACGGCCATGAGGGGATTACACCGACCATTAGGGACCCTAGGCCCATAGATTTATCTTCATTAATGTTTATTTCCAATTTCCCCATAAAAAATAGGATCTTGATTGATTTGTTAGGGAGAATAAATATCCAAAGTAAGTTGTCAGCATATCGCGCGTAACAAATCCTTATTAATAAGGAATGACTTTTAAAGGGGGCCACCTTACGGGCCAGGCCTCTCTCTGACTTGATAACTAGTGTCGCCTCCCCACCCAGAGCAGGCCCCTTCTTTGGCAATACTTAAGAAGGTCTCTCATGGCCAAAGTCTTATTAAACCCTTCTCTATCATTGAATTTGGCCTTCGGGGTCAACCCAGTGGCTTCTGTGAGGAAAGCGGCGCATGATTAGAATAATCAAGCAAGACCTAGGGGCCATGTTGGCAACAGCCGCCCAAGCCTTGTTTTACGGTCTTGAAGGGGTCTAAGCCTAAGTGCAAATCTAAAATGGGATATTGTTTAATAAATTTCATTTATAGATAGATATCCAATCTCATATACCTGGTTTGTGGTGGTGTTCTTTTAAATGCTTGCAGACATGCAATGGATTCCCACACAATCTTCAAATCTGCATTTAATTATGGTGTTGCCATATCCTAGCCGTCCAAAAAATTCTTTGTTTCTATATAAGATCAATCCATGGTCAAGCATTTTGCATTGTGTGCAACACCTCTAGTCGTGATCATTTTCTAGCCACACCACTCCATGGCAACTAGTAAAGCTGCCGCTGCCCATAGCACCGCCCCTATCGCTACCATCGAATATCGTGGCATAGCAAGGCTACCAAGTGGCAAGTGGCGCAGTTACATCGTCAATCGAGATGGCTGGTCTTTTGATGTTGGTGATTTTGGGACAACAGAGGAAGCAGCACTCGCACATGATCGGGCCATACTTGCCATCCTAGGACCAAACACATCTGCAATGGTGCTCAACTTCCGAGCCGCATTCAGCGACACAGAGCTACGGTTCCTACATGGTCGCCATGCACCGGCGAGGCCCGCAGGCGTCATCGCCATGGTGTGTATGAGTGGAGATGGCAGCTATGATGCCGAGCTTGCTCGGTTCTCAGCGCGTGCATTTGATGCATACATGGACCCTGAGCTAGCACTCGATGTGGCCAACTTCCGTGTTGCACATGGTGACATGCTACACCGTCTGAAGGAGGAGGCTACTGCCACAATTGGCACCAATGCCAACCAAGTGGCATGTGCTAAGGCGGAGCTGGATGTTGAGAGGAAGGCGTTTGTGGAGGCCACCAGAAACAAGGCCACTAACAAGACTTGGGTTGAGACATACCACAAACGACAACAACAAACTGGTCCGACATTTGAGGACGAGAACAGGTGGCCTCAGGTATTACCCATTGCCGATGTCCATGTAGATTGGTTCCCTGGAGAAGAGCTAATCTACATGCCTCATGGCAGTAGCCATGTCGATGAGATGATCCTAGGAAACACCCCAATCAAGAACACCAAACCAGATGCATGCATGCCGGATGATTTTTTGATTTGATGCCAGCTCAAGTGTGGTCAACAGATGTTGCTGTGTATCACTTGGGTTATATATAGCTGTTGTTTTGCACCATTCTTTTATCGCAATGTGGAATTCAGACTTTAAATTGTTTTGCTACCTATTTTCTCTCCTAGCACTACATTTTAGGTGATTGAAAGCAAGTTTGTAGTTGATAGTGTGAACACGATAATGGAGAATCTCATCCTACAAAAAATGTCAATAAAAACATCAAACGTGTTTATATACATGCCAACATAGGAAAAAGTGCAAATCAATTTCCATAGAAGTGTCTAACCATCTTAAAATGCTTTTTTTTTTCATGGGGACGAAATAGGAATCCATTTCTAGTATTAAAAAATGGGCTTAAGAGTTTCTACCCTTGTTTTCAAGCGAAATAATGATTTTACCTTCGTTTTTTAAACTTTATAAATTTACCCTTGTGTTTTTTAACTAAAGGAAGAGTCTACCCCTACTCCGTAAAGTTCATTTAACAGCGTTAACTTTTGGATGAATAGATAAGTTTGCCCATGTAAGTTTACCCCTGTTTTGTTAATGAACTTTATGATTTTACCCTAATTTCAATATTAAAGTTTTGACAAATTTAGTAGGGATGTTGGCAATAAAATTAAACATAAATATATGCAATCTTTTTAGTATTATAAATCTGTGCAAATTTGTCAAAAGTTATAATATCCCTTTCTTTACATGTACAACAAAGTTTCAACAGATAACTAGTTAACCCAGATTCAGCAAATGAAACATCATTAGGTACGAATAGTCCCAAAAGCTAATAACGGTTCAGACTTGTATCTTCTTCTTCCTACGAACGTATTTAGACTTCAACAGCAGGACCTTCGAGTCTTCAACCTTGCAACCATGGCTACGCAGCAACTCAGGGTGGGTATCCACGGTGCCCTGCCCGCTGCCTAGATCTATCGCCACGCCCTGCCCGCTGCCTGGATCTGACGGCAAGCCGCACCTGGCATGCATACCCGGCCTGCCCGCTGTCCGCGCAAGCCCGCGCGCGAGGCTGCGTGAGCTGCGACGAACCGCTCTGATTGCCTGGGAGCATGAGCCGCTGCCGGGGCCGCTGCTAGGCCGGGACACGCCGCACCCGCTGCGAGCGGGCCCTCTCGAGCGGCCGCCGCCGCGCCACGCGCCGCCGTCTTTGCCTTGATAGGGTTACGGGATTGAACCAATGTGCCGCTTTGGGACTTGGGAGTGAACGGAGGTGGCCTCAATGTAAAGAGACAAGGGGTGCTTTGGTCTTTTTGAGTGGTCACGTTTTGTTTTTTCATTTGTTTCATGGTTTAATGCAGAAAAAAGTAACATCGTCAGAAAATGAGGGTAAACAGCAACTTCAAATGAAAATCATAGGGGTAAAATTATAAAGTTAAAAAAACAGGAGTAAAATTACCATTGCACTCTACGGGGTAGAAACACCAAATTTCCTAAAAAAATATTGTGCACATAATATTTTTCTATAAGAATATATTTATGTCATATTGTAATCATAACATCAAGAACTTCTCTCTCTCTCCAAACTCTAGCTGGGGTATAAGTCAAACATCCATTTCCATTGCCACCCACCGACAGTAGCTACAATAGCCAATAGTGATGTCATGTGATGGCCATCCACATCATCCATCTTTCCCTTATTATTCATTAGTTACTACATAGACAAGTTCCATGGTCAAAGCTAGTTAGATATTGTATGGTGCTTGCCTCTTATTGTGTCAAGGTCTAGATTATGCGGCTTAAGATTAAGGAGACATGGATGAATGATGAGGAAGGTGAGATGGTGAAAATAGCTAGAATTTCAAGACTTAAATTTTGACTCTTTTGTCCCTCTATGATAGTCCCAGGATATCTTGGCTATCACAGGCATCAATTATTCAACTAACTATAAATCCATACAACATTAGGGTACTCAAATATGATTATTAAAATAGTTTTGGATTCAAGTCCTCAGGGCCAAAATCAAACAAAAAAACACACAAGTATCCTAGTAGAAGCAGCGAAAGGTTGGTAAATCCCCAATCCATGGGCATCCTTGAGCATAAACAAAAATCAACAACTATTCTCAACACCACTGCAAGTCTAGAAACCTGCACACCACCAAATGTGTGTAGGCCATGGTGAAAGCTCTAGTTTGGTTTTGGTAAATTGATGAAACCCTAAGTGCTAACCTAGTTTATCAAAGTGATTATGAGATAGGTAGCACTATTCCAAGTGATGAAGCAATAGTGAAGATCATGATGATGGTGATGCCATGGTGATGATCAAGTGCTAGGACTTGGAAAAAGAAGAAAGAGGAAAACAAAAAGCTCAAGGCAAAGGTGAAATTGATATGAGCTTTTCGGTTTAGTGATTGAGACACTTAGCGAGTGTAATCATATTTAGGATCGATAGCCATACTATTAAGAGGGGTGAAACTCATCGAAATACGGTTATCAAAGTACCACTAGATGGTCTAACTCATTGCATATGCATTCAAGATCTAGTGGAAAGCTACCCTTGAAAATGTTTGTAAAAATATGCTAACACACGTGCACAAGGTGATACACTTGGTGGTTGGCACATTTGAGCAAGGGTGGAGAAGTTGGTGAATTAAAGGAGGTGTTTTTCACTATCAAACAGTGATCGGACGCTCAGTTCGATGTGACCGGACTCAGGGTTCCAACACCCGGTCAATTATAAAAGAAGGTGGTGCTCTCAGGCTCGATTTGCCCTATGATCGGACTCGGAGAAGAAAAGTGACCAAACTCTAGCTAAACATTATTCAGTGTCCGGTCCTGCTAACGTGGCGGCGCGTAGAGAAGAGGAGCGGATGCACCAGAGCGTCCGATCATGGTGGACCGGACGCGTCCGGTCATGATTTTGCCTCTCTGGAACCTTATTAGAAGTGATCGGACGCCGGGTGACAGTGCATCTAGTCCTACACTGTAGTACGTCCGGTCGGAACTTAACACGTGGCGTGAAGTAGACTAGCCATTAAGATCGGGCGTTCAACATTTGTGGTTGATGACATGTGGCAAGCATCGGGCAACCGGACGTTGGGGTCCTGTGTCCGGTCAACTTGACCGGCGTGTCATGTCAGCCCGTGTTTCACTGGACAAAGGAGCCAATGGCTCTATTCATGGGGGCTCTCTATTTAAGCCCTATGGCTGACTCAAGCTCACTCTCTTGGTCATTTGCATTGACATAGAAACCTTGTGAGCTTAGCCAAAGCCCTTCTACTCATCTCCATCATTGATTCGTCATCTTTGTGAGATTGGGAGTGAATCCAAGTGCATTGTTTGAGTGTTCATCTAGAGGCACTTGGTATTCGTGTCTCGCTGTGGGATTCTCTTGTTACTCTTGGTGGTTGCCGCCACCTAGATAGCTTGGAGCAAAAAATCGTCGAGCGGAGGTTGGTGATTGTCTTCGGCTCCAATCATGATGATTGTGATGGGGTTCTTGACCTTTCCCGGTGGAGAGCCAAAATGTACTCTAGTGGATTGCTCATGGCTTGTGTGATCCTCATCTTGTGTTGGTTGTACGACACCCTTTTGAGGGTTTGGCGTATGATGCCAATTAGCACGTGAACCTCTAAGTGAGTGAATCACCACAACGAGGACTAGCTTGCCGGCAAGTAAGTGAACCTCGGTAAAAAAATCATTATGTCATCATTTGATTCCGAGATGATTGGTCTTCATTGGTATTCATTCTTGTGATTGATTGTTCATTCCTCAACTCGACGGTATAACCATCTTGCTCTCTCTCTTTACATTATCGCAAACTAGTTGTCAAGCTCTTTAGTATAGCTAGTGTGAGAGCTTGTTAGTTTGGTTAGTGTGGCTCTTTAGTTAGCCTTTGAGAGCACACTAACTTAGTGTAGTGACCTAGACATTGTGTGGATAGAGACTATAGAAAGTAGAATTGTGGTAGGTGGCTTGCATTTTTAGTAGGCTAGCACAACACTCGCTTCACGTCATATTTGTCTAACCGGTTTGCTAAGTGTTGTTGTAGAAATTTTTAATAGGCTATTCACCCCCCTCTAGCCATTAGGACCTTTCAAGTGGTATCAGAGCCGAGGTCACCGTGATTTGAGGCTTAACAACCTTCGATGTCAAAATGGCTCAAATCAACAACACCAAAAAGCCACCCCAATTTGATGCCACAAATTATCCATATTGGAAGTCAAAGATGACCACACATATCAAGTCAATCAATAGAAGGGTGTGGAAAATGGTAGAAACCAAAATTGAGATTGCCGATCCAGAGAATCCCACCATGGTTGAAGAAGTGCTTCTCCAAAACAATGACATTGATTTAAGTGCCATTCATGATGTAATTGATGAGAGAACATTTGAGTATATCAAGAACATTGAGATGGCTCATGATGATTGGAAGAAGTTGGAAGAATCATTCGAGGGCACCAACGCAATAAAGGGTGCAAAGGCATACATTCTCAAGGAGAAATTTGCTAGCTTCAAGATGAAGGAAGATGAGAGTGTGCCGACATATTCCATTGGATGGAAGTGCTTGTGAATGATCTCAAAGCACTTGGTGAGAAGGTGGAGGACAAGGACTTCTCTCATAAGTTCTTGAGATGCTTACCCGCAAGATTTGACATGTTGGTCACCTTGCTAGTGATGACCGGTTTGGACACAATGACACCAAACCAAATCTTGGGAGATATCATGACCGATGATGCTTATAGAAATGATGATGAGAAAGAAGAAAAGAGGGAGAAGAAAGATGATAAGAAGGATGACAAGAAGAAGAGTGTGGCGTTCAAGGCCACATCATCCAAGAGCAAGACAAAGCAAGAATCATCAAGTGAAGATAAAAACTTAGAGCTTTGATGAGATGGATGATGAGAAGATGGCTCTCTTTGTCAAGAGATTTGGCAAGTTCATGATGAAGAAGGGCTACCATATTAGAAGAAAGAAGTCTTCATCCAAGAACAAGAAAGAGTCAAGAAGGTGCTTCAATTATGGAAGCAAGGATCATCT